CCGGCAGGCCTGGGGTGACAAATGTCATAACATTCTGATGCCTGAAGAACGTCGTAGAGGCCACTAGTCATTTTAGCATGGTTATATGAAACTCACAATAGTATCAACTAAAACATAGTTTACGGGATTAACACTACTTCAAAGGTTTTATTTTAAATAATGAAACAACAGCACACTGTTATACACTACAGCTGGTGGATTCCAGACAGTCATACAAGAAGGTTTTCATACAAACACTATTACAGACGCCACTATAGTTCGCTACTTTTCTAGAACAAAGTACACTAGTACAATATACAATTTAAAGAAAAATTCATGATACATTTTTATTTATTAATAAGACTTAGGGTTACTTTTTCAGAGCACAGTAACAAACATACACTTTGGTCTTAAGGCCTAAGACTACATTTCACTTACTAAAGAAAATATTGGATTTTCTGGAAGTACACTATAACATTTTCAAAGAACCAAGACAAGCTTTCCATCTCAAAAACATACTTATGAACTCACCAACTTAAATGTTGATACACTTTTAAAACTACTTGTATTCTTAGGGAACCGATAGACAGGTACACCCACAGGTTTTGAGAAGACGGAGCTTATAGAGTCGCGTCTTTTATACTTTTTCTATACACTTTTGATGTCATACAAACTATGTAATGAACAGATGTAAACACTATATTTTATCAATGTAATGGTTGTGTTTGCTTTGATTAATATTATGCAATTGTTGTAATACTGTACATGACGTCCTCCGCCCCCAAACATTTCCGTCGTTCTGGTTTGGGGGTCTGACATCATACCCCTTTTTCTTTGCAAAAATATTTTTAGAAAATCTATTTTTTGTTTGAAAAGATTATCAATTCCTAAGTTTGAGTTCTGACACACCCGACTGTGTGCCTAAATCCCTCAAATCAAGGCTCTGATACCAACTTATAACGTCCCAAAACTCATAGAATTTTTTTTATTTTTAACTTGGAAAAAATTGAATACATATATCATAAAGGATCATCAATGTCAATCAGTGTTTCAAAAAGAACATCAGAGTATCATCAAATCATAAATATGAAATCTCCAGGGGATGCGATGCAGTCATGCCAGACTCTTCACTTTTAAACTAGAAGTACCTAAAAATGTTAAACCACAAAATTGTAAGCACGAAGCTTAGTATGTTCCCCAAAATACCACATACGATATAAATGGGCCCATCACAACATACATAAATGGGCCGAACCAAACATACATAAATGGGCCCAATCCAACATAATAATAGGTCCAACCCAACATACATGATAATGGGCCCAACCTAGCATGTATAATAATGGGCCCAACCCAACATACAAATGGGCCCAGTCCAACATAAATAATAATTGTCTAACCTAACATATAAATGAGCCCAATACAACATAAATAATAATGGACCCAATCCATCATAAAAATGGGCCCAACCAAAATAATAATAGGCCCAACACAACATACAAATGGGCCTAACCTATCATAAACATGCAGGAGTCACAAAGACAACTAGCACAATCCAATGGGCCGACATTGGTGCCTTCGACCCACGAGTATAGTGAGGAGACTCACCTAACAAATGATGATCTACTGCTACCGCTCTCAATACCGAGGATACAGATGCTATACACCACCTATACAACCATACCAGGTAAACCCTTAGCTCTCCTTGCAAAATAAGGAGTTAACCAAAAGTCAACTCAGCTAAAAAGTCAACGATCAAAGTCAAATTCAATAACCCATAATGTCAACCAACGAACCTCACATCATGATCAGTAACCCTAACCTCCTTATTCCTTGAAATACCCAAAAAAATTAGGGTTTTTGAGCATCAGATGGCTCTCACGACATGACCAATAATGGCTCACATCGTGACACCCAAAGAAATGTGCATTCTCGTAGCCAATGCTGACTCACGACATGATGGGGCATAACTCATGTCATGACTTACTTCCAAATATAAAATACTTGGAGTTTAGTACCTCGAAGATCCGAATGTTACATGTACACTGCCTAGTTGTGTTTTAAAACTAGTTGAGATTTGATAGGTTTTATAAATTTAAAACTAGTGGTATAAAAATAACACAATAGTGGGCCACTAGTTGTTAAAGTAAAATCAAGCTTAGCTCATATTTGAGTCAAATGCTTTCAGCGAGGGCTTTTATGCCCATGTGTTGCAGGGAGATTGTTTATTGATGTAATTTTGTTATATAGACACTATTTCTTTATTTATTTTACAAACAAGGACTATTTCTATATTTTTGTGGTATGCAAAGACTATATCTATTATTTTGCTACATTAGGACCCTTTTTGCAATTTTATTTTAAACAAGGATAATTTATGTAATTTCATTTATCTCTTACAATATGACCATTTCTGTAATTTTGCCTTATTTGAGAACATGTTTGTAATTTTGTTATAGAGGGACCATGCTGTAATTTTTTCTAACATAAGGACCATTTATGTATGTTCTCACACATTGATGATTTCTATGATTTACTCTAAGCAAAATTATGCGGTTGGTCCATATTGTTTGCCAAAACATGTAAATTTAGGAGAATTATCATACGTGATAGGTACTAGGTCCCTACGGTTTCATTTCTTGCCCTGTTAGTCCTCATGGCTTACAAAACCTACTCAATGGTTCAACTCTATGATTTGACCTTATCTTAAGACGAACCCATCAAACTCCCCTTCTTTATATCGTTATTTATCTCCATTGACGATGAACCTACCAAACTCTCCAAGTTGCCACCATAATTCTCCTCACTGAAATTCTCTTCATCGTGAATGCGTTCGAATACACTCACATACACAAACACTCTTCAAGGTGTTATCAACTTATCGTCATAATTTAACATCCAACTCATGTATTAGTGCTATCATATGGATCCGATTTGTATAAACCCTAATTATAATGCACAATTGAACCTATCGAAGTTATATGAGAGTATTAGAGATGATTGGACTGAGAATTTTATATATGGATTAGAATTTTAGGTCTATATGGAACAAAAGTTAAAAATACTTTGAAAGGGAGTCACTTGAGAGTTTGAAAAAAATGATGTGCATTGGTAGGATGTTTTTCTTTAAAACTCACCACCACCATTGAAGCTTCTATGAATCATCAAACCAGTTGTGACAATTTTTTGGTATGAATCAATCATTTACTGCTTCATAATTTTAGTATTGTTTAAATTCCATAAGGTGCAAATGAGTGGTGCGCTTGGTAATTGGTTTTACGGAGGTGAAGGAGTAGAGTTATGATTGTTTCCATAGGAGGTTTGAGTGAGGATTATGAATGCGAAGAACGAAGCTTGGGTAGCCATGGCCATAGGTGGTGGTGGATGATTAGACTCAAGAAGAGAATGAAATGGGGATTTTGTAAAGTTGGATGATAATAGTGGTGGGTTTAATATACAAGGTGTGGATGAAGTTTGATTTAGTTTGTGAAGTTCGATATTGATTGCCCAAAAGCATTGATCAAGTATGACTTTGATTTCAAAGTTTGTCTTTGCTATTATTTTTGTTTGATACGGTGTTGGTGGTGGCTAATAGTGGTTGGTGGAGATGACCGGTGGAAAAATAATCACCAAAATAGATAGAAAAACAGTCACCAAAAAATTGGTCACCGAGAAAAAGGATGACAATAATGATCGTGGAGGGTTGACCTGAAATAAAGATGAGGAGGTAGGGGTGGGATTTACTTTATTAAATACATAGCAAAAATGACTGGACACGAAAATAAACCATAGAGACCAAGCGCGTAGAAGTTCAAATAGTTGTCATGTGTATGAATACACATGTTTTGTGTTTTATAAACCACATACCAACTACATAATTTTGTCCTTTCTCTAATTGAATACTACATGAACCAAAACTAGAATTCACTTAAAAAAACGGTATAGCTTAATTGACCTTATCAATATGTACTGTTTAAATTGTTATATACTTTATTGTAAAAGGATAAACAAACTTACAATTTGCTATTATCTTATAGATATATATATTAATTAGATGACATGTCAAAATTTAATATTGTAATTAATTTCTAAAAGGATAGGTTTGTGTTAAATAGATTAAGATGAGGTTTGGTGGTGAACACATATACGAATGTATATAATACATACAAATTGGTGAAATAAGACTATTCCATATATAATGAAGTCATACAAAAAAAGGAGAACGAAAAAAACATGTTTGAACCTCCAAATTGCGGTCCTTGAAAATCTGAAAATTAGCGACACATTGCCAACGGAATAGTGACATATATCTATCGGAATTTTGTGAGGGATCGATTTCTTAAGCAATCTCAATCTATCACTAATATATTGGTAATATGTCGGTATTTCCAACAAATCACTACAAGAATTTATTTTATGTTTTTCTAGGTTCAAACGATGTTTTTTTCCATGTTTTCTACTACATTTTACATGAAATATATTCACTTAAGCAACTTATGTGTATTATACATATACAAACGTGCACATGCATCATAGGAACACATTAGTGTCTCTTGTCTCATTCATCCAAAAAGAAAAACAGACTCAACTAATATTAGAATACAATGTTTTCGATAGTCTGCAATGTATTTAAACATGTAACGATTAACCTTGTTCTGTAGCCCTTATATATATCTTTATTACATGCTAGTGTCGATCTTATGGAGATATAGATATTAATTAGACGATATGTCAAATTCAGTATTGTATTTTATTTCAAAATAAGGATACATTGTATCCTCTAGTTCGTGTTAAAAAGAAAAGATATGATTACGCGTTTATTAATTAATCTTTGCAAAAAGAATAAACAAAACAGGTCAAATATATGAATTTATCAAACGAAAAGGACTCTTATTGGACAATATATACATGTTGCTTATTCAAACTCATGGACCTTTTCCTAAAATTTTATTAAACTAACACAACACAATACAAGTTTGTATATAAATTCATACATACGACTACCGAATGAGAACTTATCACACCAACTGATCATCTCTTCAATGGCAATCCAAGTACTCTTTGTCATCTTAAATCTATGCTTCCTTCTGCTGCTTCTGCCTACAACAATTCACACTGAATCTGACCACAATCGAAAGGTACATGCTTGTAATCTTCCGGTCTTCCACCTTTCTGACACATAATAGATGTCACCATAACATGACGCGATCTCTATCACTAAAATTCATCCCATGGATAAAGGCCGTGTTTTGTTTAATGTGACTAATGTTTCGGTTTAAATGATCGATGTCGAGTAACTGGTTATGTGCAGGTATTCGTGGTGTATATGGGCCACAACACTCTAGACGATGCAGCTTCCTCCTCCCTTCACTTGAGCATGCTACAACAAGTTATTGGCAGGTCACCTACCCAATCCTACTCTTTATTTAGCATACAGTTTGATATTTCTTATGTTAGAGGAGAGGGCTTTATATGTTAAGGATCTTTAGTGGCAGTAAATGAAATTTGGAGAGTGTAATATATATACCAACATTTAATAGCCGTTTGTAAGGATGCAGACCAACTGAACCCGTCACTAGCAAAAGAAATATCAAGAGTACATACAATAGACAGGAGCTAGTTAATTAAAAGGAAAAACGTAATTAAAATTTCGTTTTAAATATGGTTCTTTCGTGTAGGGTATGACACTAGGTCTATAGTTTTCGTTTTGAAAGTTTTATATTCTAGACATTTGACAAAAAAATGACATATGGTGAAAGGCAAAGGTTCTGAAAATCGTTCGGCGGTAGTTCGATAGTCAACTGTGTTAAGCAATTAATCGGTATTGACGGGATTAATCGGGGACCCTTAATTATTAATAAAATTATTTAAAAAATTAATATATTTTAAAAAAATAAGTATTTCAAAATTTAAAATTTTGAAAATTTGAAAATTTTAGGGTTATCTACAGAAAAGTCTCAAACTTTTTTCAAAAGTTTCAATAAAGTCCTAAAAGTTTTTTTTGAACAGAAAAATCCAATATTTTGATTTTTTGCCTAAATTTACGAAAAAGTCATTTTTTATATTAGTAGATTATATGATTTTTTCAAAATATTGAGACTTTTTTGTTCAAAAAAAAAACTTTTAGGACTTTATTGAAACTTTTAAAAAAAGTTTGGGAGTTTTCTGTAGATAACCCAAATTTTAGTATAATATCTTAAAATTATAAAGCTTAAAACTTTGAAAATTAAAAATTTTGGTGTAATATTTGAAAATTAAAAAATTTGAATTTTTTAAATATTTCTTGTCTATGACCGCCAAGGGCCGCCAAAGACCACCATGTCCGACTATGACCGATTTTTACGAATTTCCGTCAAGCATTCTAATCGTAATATGTTTAAGGCCGCAAACCAATTAATCACTGATTAACCGGCCGCCAAAGCCGATTTCTGCAATACTGATGTGAGGTATTAACCTTGTAATACCTTGATGCCCAAGAAAAGTGTGCAGTCAGGTAGAAGAAACGTTAATATTACTTGTTAATAATAACGTTAATATTACTAGGGAGAAAAGAAACATTAATATTATTAGTTAACCAAAACTTTATTGTTGAAAAAAAAATAAAAGTAACGAGTACAAGCCTTATTTATACTAAACTAAAAGAGTTTGACTCTAACACAAAGACTTGGAAAGAAAGATTAAAAAAAACAAAACTTTCCTAATATACCCCTAAATATAAAAACTGCTTTTGAAAGTTGTTCGGATCAAATATGATAAAACTAACAATCATCCCATTAATCGGTTTGATCTTACCATTCGTTCACATCATCGTTAAATCACCTTCTTTTTGAACCATCTCGATTCTCGACTTTCCCGGACACCCGACCTCCATCTTGGTGATATCCAAAGTCTTCTCTCAAACCCTTTTGATTGTTCACAACACTTGTAACATATAACATGGCATCATGTTGGACACGTTCATTACCATCTCGACTTTTACAGGACCCACAACCTCTTTCTCGGCCACATCCAAAACCACTTGATTTCAACTTTAACCGCCACAATGTTCAAATCGTGCTGTTTGTCCAATCTCTTTGTTTTTTTTTTCAATCACCTTTATTCAAAGATACATCTCCACCAATCAAGAAAACAAAGCCACTCGCTTCATCATTTCCTTTCAATCTGACAACCGAACCAAATCCAAAGCCACTTGCTTTGACGAATACTTTCTGCCCGCTTTTCATGCACCTACGCCAATATTCCCTTGTGACGAACAATCCAATCAAGAACTGCGAAATCCCGACACTAGTACCCCCGTCGTCTCAAATGGTACTCCATGTCCCCCTCACGACCACTCCCGACCGGAACAATAGTAAACAGTCCCGATTGTGACCCGTATTAACAGCCAAAAAAGATGCTAATATCGACCACCATGTCGTCTAAAACTAGTCGACCCAAGGGTCCCGCATCCCAAGGGTCGTTGTAAATATATGTGGAAACCCATATTAACTCTCAAAAAAAGTCATTGTGAATAAAAGGGAGACTCCAACCTATATAACCACTTATAAGACCATGCCGCACCGATATGGGATCCACTAACACTCCCTTTTAGAGTCGGAGGCTCGACGACAATAGACAGGGATGTGGAAAAGTTGCCTCCAAAATTAGCAAGTGGCAAATAGTTCAGGGGTTATTTCCGTAACTTATCATTTACTATTCATAGTTTGACTATGAATAGTAATCTAATATGAAATTGAAAATGAAATTGGACGGAATGGAGGCGCAGACATTATTATATGTGTATAGTAATATGCAATATGAATTTGAAGATTGTAGGCGCAGCAATTATGTCTTGGACGGCATTTTTGTTTTCTTCTTTCATTTGTATTCTCCTCTTTGGCTATAAATAGCCAGAGAGATTTAACCCACGAATAACCCAACAATCAAAAAAATATATATAGTAAAACATTACATATATAGATATATATATATATATATATATATATATATATATATAGATATATCTATATATATATATATATATAGATATATATATATATATATATACTGATACACCACCATATATTTTAGCCCTCTCACTCTATTTGTAATCTCTTTCATAATCCCTGTAAACACTGCAAATTATAGTGAATTGTTTCTCGGCTTCCTCCGCCCGTGGTTTTTTCCCGATTTGGGTTTCCACGTAAATTCCTGTGTCTCTATTCTATTTATTTTATTCGTATTACGTTGTGATTATTACGCTTTGATAATTTTTGATCCCATTCCGCATTGAGCTAATATTATTTAAGTCTATTCGGATCCTTCGTATTTCACAACAACTGGTATCAGAGCATCCGGGTTGTAATATTAGCTCATTGGGATCATTTTATCAAGTAATTAATCATGTCTTCGGTAAAATACGATATTCCACTACTGGATCGTAACACACGATTTCCGTTGTGGCAAGTAAAGATGAGAGACATTCTCATTCAGATGGATTTACACAAGGCGCTTTTGGGCTTCAATAAGATGCCCGATACATGGACCGAAGAAGAAAAGGAGATGAAAGATCTGAAGGCTTTATCCCAAATTCGTTTGCACTTGTCAAACGATGTTTTGCAAGATGTTCTAAAAGAAACGTCAGCGGCTTCTTTATGGCTAAAGTTGGAGCAACTGTTGATGACCAAGAGCTTACCAAACAAGTTGCATTTGAAGCAACGGTTGTTCAATCTCAAGATGATTGAAGGAGACTCTTTAACTGAACATATATCCATATTTAAAGAGTTAGTAAATAACTTAGAGAATATGGATGTTCAGTATGAAGATGAAGACTTGGCTCTATTCTTACTATCGTCGTTGCCAGAATCCTATAGCCATTTTCGTGATACTATTATCTATAGCCGTGACACTCTAGTTTTAGATGAAGTCTATACAGCTTTGGATTCAAAAGAGAAGATGAAGCATATTACTGGTGGTGGTTCAAGTGATGCTAAAGCCGAAGGTTTGAATGCCAGAGGAAGAACAACAGAGAGAAATAGAACTTCTCAATCTTCCAACAGAACCAGATCCAAGTCAAAAGGCAAACGAAAGTTTTGCAACTATTGTCACAAGAAGGGACATGTGCTTGAAGAATGCTTCAAGTTGAAGAACAAAGAAAAAGAGAAGACGGCAGCAAATGGTAAACAAGCTAGCACTTCGGGTGAAGCCGATGTAGCTGAGGTGGAAGGTATTGGAGAACTTTTGATAATTTATTCAGATAAACTGGATTCCACTGGTGATTGGATACTCGACTCTGGTTGTACTTTTCATATGTGTCACAACAAAAGTTGGTTTTACACATTTGAAAAGGTTAACCAGGGCTATGTGTTGATGGGTAACAATACTACATGTCCAGTTCTTGGACATGGTTCAGTCAGGATCCGTATGTTTGACGGAGTTATTCGAACCATGGGGGATGTTAGATATGTTCCTGACCTCAGAAGAAACTTGTTATCTCTCAGTTCCTTTGACAAAAGGGGATACGAGTTTGCTGGTAAAGGTAGAATTCTCAGGGTATTCAAAGACGGCTCCGACAAACTGAGAGCCAAACGAAAAACCTCAGATCTTTACTTTCTTGACGGGCAAACAATTTCGAGTGATGCTGCTGTTGTTTCAAAGTCTTTTTCTGATCCAGATCAGTCCCGTCTTTGGCACCTTCGACTCGGCCATATGAGTTTTCAAGGCATGTCAGAATTGAGTCGAAGAGGTTTACTTGGTCAACAAAAGATTGTTGATTTGGATTTCTGTGAAGACTGTGTATATGGCAAGGCAAAACGAGTGAGGTTTGCAAGTGGCATCCATACAACGAAAGGACCACTTGATTATGTTCACTCGGATTTGTGGGGACCGGCTCGAGTTGCTTCAAAAGGTGGAGCTATTTATATGCTCACTATTATTGATGATTTCTCCAGGAAGGTGTGGTCTTTCTTCTTAAAAAATAAAGGAGACGTTTTCTCTACCTTCAGAAATTGGAAAGTTCAGGTTGAAAAGCAATCAGGTCTGGTGGTAAAGTATCTTCGTACGGATAATGGACTTGAGTTTTGCTCAGAAGAGTTTAATGTCTATTGTCAAAAGGAAGGCATTACTCGACATCGCACAGTAGTCCATTCACCTCAACAAAATGGTGTAGCTGAAAGGATGAATCGCACCATTATGGAGAAGGTCCGGTGTATGCTTTCTAATTCCAAATTGCCAAAGTCTTTTTGGGCGGAGGCTGCTTCGACTGCTTGCTATGTTATCAACCGATCACCGTCATGAGCAATCGAGAAGAAACTCCGTTTGAATTATGGTCCGGTAAACCTGCAAATTATTCAGATTTAAAACCATTCGGATGTCCAGCGTATGCACGAGTTGACAATGGGAAGCTAGAACCAAGAGCAATCAAATGCGTTTTTCTTGGGTACAATCAAGGTGTAAAGGGTTACAAGTTATGGAGCTTTGATTTGAAGAAAATTATCATCTCAAGAGATGTTACTTTTGATGAGTCTGCTATAATTCAACCAGTTGCTGACTCTTCTAAAAGAACAGATGCATCAGATGTATCATCCGAAGCAAATAAAGAGAATGCTCAAATGGAGGTGGAGCTTCCTACTTCACCTACCACTAATCAGAGTACAAATCAGCATCAAGATTCTTCTTCGTCGGATGAGCATGTTGTTGGTGAAGATTCAACACCTTCACAACCACAAGCTACTACTCCAAGCATTGCAAGAGATAGACCGAGAAGACAGATTATTCCTCCGAAGAGGTATGCTGAATCTGATTTGGTTGCCTATGCTTTTATTGTTGCTGATAATATCGAGTCTGCAACGGAGCCTGCAAATTATGACGAGGCTATCAAATCTGAAGACTCAAATGATTGGATGCTCGCTATGCAAAATGAGATGGAACCCTTGCAGCGAAACAGTACTTGGAATTTAGTTCCTATTCCGAAAGGGAAGAGACCAGTTAAATGCAAGTGGGTCTACAAGCTCAAGGAACCTGTCAACCCAAATGATAAACCAAGATACAAAGCTCGGTTAGTAGCTAAAGGCTACAGTCAGATTCCTGGTATTGATTACACTGACATTTATTCCCCAGTTGTCAAACATACTTCCATTCGTGTGTTGTTGGGGTTGGTTGCTTCTAACGATTTTGAGTTAGAACAACTTGATGTCACTACAGCTTTCCTAAATGGTGAGCTTGAGGAAGAGATTTTTATGCAACAACCTGAAGGTTTTGTAGTTCTTGGAAAGGAGAACTACGTATGCAAGTTGAACAAATCTCTTTATGGCCTCAAGCAATCTCCTAGACAATGGTACAAGAGGTTCGATTCTTTCATGACCAGTCACAAATTCAGCAGGTGCACCTATGATAGCTGCGTTTATTTCAAGAAAGGTGACAATGGTTCAAAGATCTACTTACTCTTGTACGTGGATGACATGTTGATTGCAGCAAAGATATGAAGGAGATTCAGAAGTTAAAAGACCAGTTGAAAGCTGAATTTGAAATGAAGGACTTAGGAGCTGCCAAAAAGATTTTAGGTATGGAAATTATTCGTGACAGAAAGTCTAGGATCTTGCATCTTTCTCAGAAAAGTTATATTGAGAAAGTCCTAAGACGCTTCAGTATGCACGAAGCAAAGTCTGTCAACACACCTTTTGCAGCTCATTTCAAGCTATCATCCGCTTTGAGTCCTACTAATGAGACTGATATGGCTTACATGGCACGTGTTCCATACTCTAGTGCTGTTGGATCTTTGATGTATGCTATGATCTGCACGCGCCCTGATTTGGCTTATGCTGTTAGCATGGTTAGTAGATACATGGCGAACCCGGGGAAAGAACACTGGAAAGCAGTACAGTGGATTTTTCGTTATTTACGCGGTACGTCTTCTATGTGTTTACGTTTTGGTAAATCTAACACTGGGTGTTCGGATATGTTGATTCAGATTATGGCAAAGATTTGGATAACGAAGATCAATTACAGGGTATGTGTTTACTCTAAATGGTTGTGCTGTTAGTTGGAAAGCCCAGTTACAGTCTACAGTTGCCCTGTCTTCTACCGAGGCAGAGTACATGGCGATTACAGAAGCAGTTAAGGAAGATATCTGGTTGAAGGGGTTATTTGGAGAACTCGATGATAGAATAAAGGTGACCACAATTTTCTGTGACAACCAGAGTGCTATCTTCTTGAGTAAAGATCAAATGTTTCATGACCGAACTAAGCATATTGATATTCGTTATCATTTTGTGCGGGATATCATTGAAAAAGGCGATTGTGTTGTGGACAAGATTCATACAGATTATAATCCCGCTGATATGTTCACTAAAAGTCTTCCTATAGCCAAGTTCAAATTATGTTTGGACATGGTGGGTGTTTCTGATCGCAGTTGAGCCTGAAGGCTCGTAGGTGGAGGAAGTATTATTTATTTTTTCGGAAATAATTTTTTCTCTATATAAAATTGCAGGTTCTTATGGAAGTTTTTAGAGTTTGATGAGCTAAAGGTTTTGACTAATCGTAAAGCATGACTTGCTTAATTTTGATGTCAAGGTGGAGATTGTGGAAAAGTTGCCTCCAAAATTAGCAAGTGGCAAATAGTTCAGGGGTTATTTCCGTAACTTATCATTTACTATTCATAGTTTGACTATGAATAGTAATCTAATATGAAATTGAAAATGAAATTGGACGGAATGGAGGCGCAGACATTATTATATGTGTATAGTAATATGCATTGAATTGGAAGATTGTAGGCGCAGCAATTTTGTCTGGACGGCATTTTGTTTTTTCTTTCATTTGTATTTCTCTCTTTGGCTATAAATAGCCAAGAGATTAACCCACGAATAAAACAACAATCAAAAAATATATATATAGTTAAAACATTACAATATAAATATATAATATATATATATATATAAATATATAATAATAATATATATATATATTATATATATAATTATAATCTACTATAATATATATATACTGATACACCACCGATATTTTAGCCCTCTCACTCTATTTGTAATCTCTTTCATAATCCCTGTAAACCCTGCAAATTATAGTGAATTGTTTCTGGCTTCCTCCGCCCGTGGTTTTTTCCCGATTTGGGTTTCCACGTAAATTCCTGTGTCTCTTTCTATTTATTTTATTCGTATTACGTTGTGATTATTACGCTTTGATAATTTTTGATCCCATTCCGCATTGAGCTAATATTATTTAAGTCTATTCGGATCCTTCGTATTTCACAACAAGGGATGCGTTGAGTCACAAAGGGTGCGGGACGCCCGACTCTAATACTATGTAAATATATGTGGAACCCCATATTAACTCTCCAAAAGAGTCCATATGGAGAGAAGGGAGACTCCAACATATATAGCTACTTCCGTTTCGTACTGATGCGGGATACGCTAACAGTCCTGCATCCCAAGGGTCCCACACCCTAAGGGTCCTCCCCGTTCGAAAGTTGACTCTCAAACCAGAAGCACCATGCTCTGATATCAAGTGTAAGATATTAAGCTTGTAATACCTTGATGCCCAGAAAAAATGTATAATCAGGTAGAAGAAAACAAACAGAGAAGAAACTGGGAGAAAAGAAACCTTAATATTGCTGAAAAACTCTAAAAAGAAGCAACGAGTACAAGCCTTATTTATACTAAAGTAAAAGACTTTGACTCTAATACAAAGACTTGGAAAGAAAGCTAAAAAAACCAAACTTTCATAAAATACCCCTGGGTATAAACACTGCTTTTGAAAGTTGTTCGGATCAAATCTGATTAATCCAACACATGGTAGATATATAATAATTAACGGCTTGCTCGCATGTGACTTTACTATGGCAGGGATGCAAGGAAGCACATGCTCCAAAGATACACTAAAAGCTTCCACGGATTTTCTGCAAGACTTACCGAAGAGGAGGCTAAGAAACTGTCAGGTAAGCATATAATATATATTCCAACATTTAATAGACGATAATATGAATCCACTTTAATCATGGAAGGTTCATGTATATATATACATATAGGGATGGAGGGGGTTGTTTCTGTGTTTCCTAGCAAATTGAGCCAACTGGAAACAACGAGTTCTTGGGACTTCTTAGGTTTCCCAATTACAGCAAAAAGATCAACAACGGAAAGTGATATCATAATCGGAGTTTTTGACTCGGGCATATGGCCTGAATCAGCCAGTTTAACTGACTTAGGATATGGTCCTCCTCCTGCTAAATGGAAGGGCATTTGCCAAGGCAATTTTACTTGCAACAAGTAATAAATTCATTTTGTAATTAATATATGTTTCACATCATCTTCATGAAATGAGGGTTTTAAATTTGACTTCTCTCTTTATCACGTATATATCCAGCAAAATAATTGGAGCTCGATACTTCAAGGCAGATGGAATATACGATTCTACAGAACTCCAATCACCAAGAGACTCTGATGGTCATGGAACACACACTGCATCCACAGCTGCAGGAAACGTAGTGACAGATGCCAATCATCTTGGCCTCAACACAGGAACAGCTCGAGGGGGTGTGCCCGGAGCCAGGATCGCAGTATATAAGGTGTGCTGGATAGAGGGCTGTAGTAGTGAGGACATACTTTCAGCTTTTGACGCTGCCATTGCTGATGGTGTTGACATAATAAGCGTTTCTGTTGGCTTAAGAGTTGCTGAAGAGCTTTTCACTAATCCTTTTGCTATCGGTTCCTTTCATGCTATGAAGAAGGGAATATTGACTGTACAATCTGCAAACAATCAAGGCCCAATGCCGCAGACCACTGGTAGTATCGCTCCATGGATTCTTTCGGTGGCTGCTAGCACTAAAGATACAGATTTGATGACCCCAGTAAGACTCGGCAATGGTGTGGTTGTTGATGTGAGTACTATCTATCCTTAATCCTACTACATTATATATCATTTCTGAAAAAAAAAACATGTTGACTTTTACTTTTTTGATGGAAACTACAATTTAAATTATTTGATCGTATCTCAGGGAGTTTCAATAAATCCATTCACACTTGATGGAATGTATCCACTGATTTATGCCGGAGATGTTCCGAATATCACGGCTGGTTTTAATAGTTCAAGATCAAGGTATATATACCAGGTTTTGCATAAAGATATTTCTCTAGCGAATTTGTGTTGCATTTGTTTACCTCAATGGTCATTTTCTTGATGGGTGTTTCATGAATGTGTACACACCAGGTTTTGCTCTAGGAACTCTTTGGACAAGAACTTAGTGAAAGGGAAAATAATATTATGTGATGGGATATCGACTGGAGAAACTGAAATGTTGGCTGGTGCTGTTGGGTCCATCATGACATATCCATATTTTGACACTGTGTTATCATATCCTTTGCCTGTTAGTGTTGTAAACTCGGAACAAGCAGCAACTATATCTCGCTACATACAATCAACAAGGTAATTATAAATCATCTTTTTTACTCGTATTCAAATAAATGGAGTTTATTTACACAAACTGATGAACTTGAATTTTTCTTCTCAGAAATGCAACTGCTCTAATATTGAAGAGTGAAGTTGTCAAGAATGCGTCTGCTCCATATGTTGCCTCTTTCTCCGGAAGAGGTCCAAATCCAATACACCAAAACATCCTCAAGGTCATTCATGTTCTTTTTCGGTTATAACTGTTAGATAGAGAAGAGAACGAGAAGTGCAAACGCACAAGAATATTATCAAACCAATATTTTTATTCATCTTTTTGTCTACTAAACTAATAATACATATGAGAGATACATACAGTTATATACAGAGTGAACTGACACAAACCTTAATAGATTGATTGTTATCACAATAAATAACTAACTTTATGATTATATTTTTATGTATATTAAATTTTTCCCAACAATTCATGTAACAGTTATGAAAACATATGTGATTTGGAATTCTGTGTTGAATAGAATCACTCATAATTGAATTTTTCGATTGTTGCAGCCAGACCTAACAGCTCCTGGGGTAAGAATTCTAGCAGCATGGCCACCTGTGGCTCCAATTACCGAAGTAGAAGGAGACCGCAGAGCTGTTTCTTTCAATATTGTTTCAGGGACTTCAATGGCATGCCCACACGTCAGTGGTATTGCTGCTTATATCAAAACCTTTAACCCGACATGGTCTCCTTCAGCCATTAAGTCGGCTCTCATGACAACAGGTAACATATCAAGTTGTTATATATATATATATATCGCATCTCCACTGACAATCATGGTGCGAAACATCACTGCTTACGCAAATTTTTTTCATTTTTTTTTTAATTTCAGCTTCTGCTATGAGTGACAAGATCAATACAGATGCTGAATTTGCATATGGAGCTGGCAATTTGAATCCATTGGCGGCTATAAAACCTGGGCTGGTATATGAGGCTGTGGAAGTGGATTATCTGAGTTTTTTGTGCCTGGAAGGCTACACCAGCCAACATATTAGAAGCCTCACTGGGGACAACAGTAGTAGCTGCTCTCAGCTCATGGAGCAAACTAAAGATTTAAACCACCCTACTTTTGTCATCCCAACACTGCGCAACAGATTCATTGATTCAAGTTTTAATAGGACTGTCACCAATGTCGGCTCTGCAACATCAACATATAGATCTTTCATAACAAGACCGCTTGTTAGTGGTTTGAGGATACAGGTTGAGCCCAATGTTTTACGGTTCGAACAACTTGGGCAAAAGCTGTCTTTTAAGGTGTCTGTGCAGGGAATTATAAGGAGGTTAGACAACCCAATTGTTTCTGGTGCTTTGACATGGGATGATGGAGTGCATCAAGTGAGGAGCCCCATCGTTGTGCATGTTCCATGATAGTCATTATGTAATGTACTGTAAAAATTATTCTACTCTCTCATAATATTTTTCTTGTTGTATATGATACTAAATTTCCAATTTGTAATATTTTCTGCAAACCTCAATAATTTAATCAAATGTTATTTTGGAAGCTTATCTTTCCTCAAGAAGTGAAACTTTTAAACCTTCACAAGGACGTTGAAAGATTTGGCTTTTGTTATTCTTTTTGGCAGAGGTGACATGGTACAGTACCGGTCCTTTTTTCTTCAAATCGAGTACCATACCAACTATATTTGGTATAAAAGTTTTGCTACCATTACCATTTCAAATATACTTAGTACCAATTTGTTTGACTATCAATACACTACAACCAATTGAAGTTATCGCAACACCCATAAAGTGTTGCATTATGTCTTAAAAGTCTTGTATTATGCCTAACCAACATTTTAGCAAGTGTTGCTTTAGGTCTAAATCAACACTGTTTTTAGAATATACCACATTATTCGAAAGTGTTGCCTCTTTTTATAAGTGCAACAATTTTAAAGTGGACCATCTTTTTCCAAAAAATACAACACCTTTTCATTACTTTCACCATCCTACAACAACATTTTTACCTATCATATACAACACTTTTCGCACAGTATGCATTACTTTTTCATTACTACATTCAATCTATACCAACACTTTATGAATCAAATGAAACACTTTTTTCTCTTTTGTATATATGCAATACCTTTTAAATACGAATGAAAACACGTTTCGAAGCATGGGTAACACTTAATTGTTGCAATGTCATATTTTATTAGTTGATCATATATCACTTTTTCTCCCCTCGATACTTATGTTAAAATATGCATTATAAATTGAATTTCATTCAATTATAGAAATAAACATTTCAAAGATAATGTCATACTATAACATGATACAAATGTCAAAACCCAAAATGATAGCCAGGAAGTCAACATAAAAAAATGTCGGTGAAAATCATGAAATATATAAAGGTAGTGCATTTGAATTTCCTTTGTTGTTCAATTTGATCATACTTGCATGTAACGCCCATATATTTGTACTAAGTACACCCAATTTTTTTTTAATTACAACTTATAAAACACTTTGGTTTACACTAGCACACTTAATAGAAGAAATTATCAATAGGAATTGTACTGACATCAAGTAGAGGATCTAAGCCGGGTGCTACAACAACCTAACCAACAACACAACAAAAACTAAACAATGTAAGCCAAAGGCCTAGGGAATAACTATTACAATAACAAACAACATATATCATCATATAAATCAACTTATCAACAAATAAATATACACCACATCAAATATACTACTTTATATCATATCAACCCATATATCACCTAATTCATTATTGCCTTATAACACCATTGAGGATAACCAATAATTCACCACTATTATATATATATATATATATATATATATATATATATATATAGATATATATATATTATATATATATATATATATATCTATATATAATCTCTATATAGATATATATATATATTTATATATATATGCATACCTTTGGATATACTCCGTGCATCGTAAACACACCATATTCATTATATATTATAAGGTGAACTTATTTCACTAAACTATAATATATCAATATCACTGTACATCTAATCCGCATATTATGCATCTACACACATCAACAAGAATAGGTGTTGGAGTAGAGTTACTCACATGGCTAGTTAATAGACTAACTCTTGTTTTGGTCACTGGCCACCACTGCCTATCACTTTCCATATGCTAACACCTATCCAACAAATAACAAGATCCTCAGAACCTTTCACAACTCATTACAAGGTAAACACCGTGACTATTTGTCACGAGACTAATTAAACTTCAAAATATAGCTGATAATAACTTAACCCTATAAGCTATTAGGTAGATCTCACTCATCGGGTAACTATGAGAACAAGGATCTGATTGCGCAAGGACAAGGCTTGAAAACTCAAACCTTGAGTTAATGCTTAAGATCAATGTCTGCTTCTAATTAAGAGTTCCAGTCAAGTCTGGCAAGACCAGTCGAGACTGAAGATGAGAATCAACAAAGTACTTCAAGTATTAAGTATGGAGTAATGAGTATAATCAAAGCAAAGACAATAAATGAACAAGTAGAATGTTTGAAAGAGTTTGATTTGAGAGAAGGATGCAAGTGAAGTAAATTCCAATATAACTATCTTTGGAGTAACAATCTGTCTTCTTTTCTGATCATTAAACACTCCTTATGTAGCAAAAGGATGAACACATTACAAACCGGAAAACATACAAAGGAGCGGACAATGTCAGTACTTATGACATTCTGATTGTCCAAATAAACAAAAAGACTAAGTGCTAAGTAACGTTACATCATAGAAAACGACAAGAATAATTAATGCATAGACGGATACACTGATTCAGACTTATTCTCATTTCGGAACATCTTCACTTCGAACATACTCTCTACTCCAGACATAATCTTTACTTCTGACCACAAACTGATTTCCGGACCATATTCCATTTCATACCTAAGACTGACTTCGGAACTTCCAAAGGTTAGAGATTGCTAGAGGTTCACTTACAGGTTCCAACAATCTCCCCCTAAGTGAACTTAGCAATCCAGTCGGCTTAGCTCGAATTTTCCTTGATGAACACGTATGCTTTGTACAACCAATCTCTGACTTCAATGTACCATTGCAATTGAGTCACCAACTTTTCCTTGACATGTTCAGGAGCATCAGACTTGGAAGCACGATTGATGAATTTCCGAAGAGCTTTGGTTGGAACTAGATGTTTGTCAAGGACTCGGAAGAAGTCCTTCTTGTTTGTCTTCTTTTGCTTGTAAGGAAACCCTAGTACCGGCTCATCAATTGGCCTTCAGCCAATAACTCAGCTTCTGGTAGAATGAAGTCAATTTTGGCCAAGTAGTTTTCGGTTCCGAACAAATGTGCGAGTTCATAGTCGCACCGACATAATTCAACAACATAGTCTTTGAAGAAGCTTAAAGCAGCTTGGTAAGCTCCTATGCTGATACTGTCGTCTTGATGACTCCGAAAATGTGCACCAATGGTCAAGATGTTATTTGGGTTGATTGCAGGAAAGTCCACTACTAGAAAACAGCCCTTTAATGACGCGCAAACAATAACACGCGCTGATAGAGGACGCGCATTTGTGCGTGCCCTAAAAAATAATGTCAGCTTTGCAAAATGTGAAGGATAGAGGACGCGCATGTTTGCGTGCCCTAAAATTAATGTCCAAAAAAAAAACACGGAGGGCACCTACCATAAAAAGCGTGCCGTGTATAGATGTCGCTTATATTTTTTTTAGGAAGGCGCGTTCTCCGCTTTTTTTTTTTAATCGGCGATGATGGGAAATGAAATCCAAAAAAATAAACACCCGCCTAATGCTTCTCTCCTTCTACATCCTCTAACAAAGAGCCCTAATTCTATTATGAGGCTGTCAATCCTTTTGAAGCAGCCCGTCTTCCTGTACCTTGATCTGCACTCTCTCTCCTTCTCTTTGCAAGCCCTAAGCCGCCATCACCAGCATCGAAACCCATCAGCTCTAAGCAGGCCATGGATTCTGTAAGAGTGTTTGTCTCGTATGTTTTTATCATCGCCATCAGACACTACTATTCTCTATCCACTATGTCGCCAAGTCTCCGTATGTTTTCAGAAGCGCCATTCGACGAAAAGAACTAGGGCTTTGAACCACATCTCAATAAATTGTTCAGAGAGATCCAGCAGCTCCTCTCACTCAAAACACCTTCGATTGAAGGTTATGTGACTCCTTACATCACAGCGCCATTCGATTGAAGCTATTTAGCAGAGACCGATCGCCTTCAATCCAAACTCCAATCAGAAATGGCATCTCGCATGTCTTCCGCAGCTCTCCACTCCTCTCACTTTCGCTGGGGGCCTGTACCTTCAATTTCAAATTACACTTCATCTGAAGCTTGTTGATTTCTTTTGGATCCAAATTCAAATTTTGTGTTCTTCTTTGGCAATTTGGAGGTGGAATTCAGGTTGTATTACAGGAAGTAGAGGAAGGGAAAACAATATCCAGTACTCTGTAAGAAGTAGCTAGCCTAACCCGAAGAGTTCATTTCACATAAAAGTCCAACAGTGGGTTCGATTTCATCTCCGGGAAGAGGATTGAACAAAAAATCATCGATTACAAATCAAGAAGCAGAAAGATTTGGGGGTAATTCCCAATTCCAGTATCATTTCAACATCTCTCAACGATCTCTAATTCTCTTCCACTTCATTTAATCTATTAACATGACTTGATGTTAGGTTATGCATATGAAGAGTATCAGAAGTCTCACCTGGTCATCGATACATTGCATACACCATGTATGACAAAGACAACGATTCTTCAAATTATGTTGAGAGTTGAATTTAGGTTCTCTCTGTAGGAAGCCACAAGCTGATTGGGTCTGTAATGTGGCATGGGCTAAAGGGGTCAAGGCATATCTGTATCATGAGGTTTTTTTTTTCCTTCATATCAGTTGGCTCTAAAATGAGCTCTAAACCCTATATTTTATTTGTTTGAGAAATTGTGATTTGATTGTTCGTCCAGTCCCAAGCTGCTTGTTCAAGAAAGCGAGAGATGATCACACAAGTCAAGCATGGGTTTTCTCTCCACAAGTCAAAGTTATTAGTGTTGGTGGGTCGAGTTGAAAATGGTCAAAATCCATAGAAAAGAACTCAAAAAAAACTAAGAGGTCTGTCGGTTATTGCTATTATGTAAAACTGTAATGGATATGTTTTGAACTGTAAACTATGGCTACTGATTTGGCTGCTGAAGAGCTGACATTTGTGAGGAGATGTGTTGAAGGAGAAAGATGCTTTGAGGAACTTGAAGCTGGCAGCCAAGTCGCTGACTGAGACAGTTAATCAGTTGATTGACACTGTTCATCAGGTGAGAATCAATCTTTTTTTATTTATAATGCTTTAGAAATTTGGTATGAGGGGTAAAATAGTAATTTTGTTTGATTTCGATTTTCAGGTGAAGGAGGATGAAA